TAAGTTCCCTTACATGCGACTTTTACGAACGACTAAGAAGGTCGTATTCATTACATTTGGTATCCAGTATTCCAGAAACTGCATTTACAAACCTTCAGTTTACTACCACAAATTGGTAAACTATTGCATTTGTCTGTTTGCCACGATATATATATATATATATAGTATGTTTTACAGCACATTTTATCACTAGACGTGCTTACATGTAAAGAACTGACAGTTTAGAATGAATGGCTTGCTAAAAATGAACAGGCATATGCATTACTCTGTAGAACCAGAGGTACATTACTTGGGGTTTGCAACTACGGTGACATGATACCAAGATCCCGTTTCAATCTCGCTCTCGCATAAGCGTTCCAACTCAGAAAAATGCGAATGCGCATGCCCGAGGTAACTAGGATACTGGGATGTCCAGGTGGATCAAAAAAGCTGCTCACGATATGACGGGTTACAATAACTATATTTTCCGTACATTTTCGATGACTTGTATTATTTTTTTTTCACTATGAATGTGGTAATACATGTTTTATTGTTTTATTACAAACCGCCTATGTCATGTCAGAAGGTCGTAGCATCAGTCTCGCTATCTACGAGATGAGATTTGAATGAAATCTTGACATGATGTCACCGTACAGTACTATGCGCGTTGCAAACCCCAAGTAATGTACCTCTGGTAGAATACAAACATGGTTTCCGCTTCAAGTGCCATGGTGCACCAAGCCACCGTAGAGGCCGGTAACTACCGGTAGTAATGGGTCCAGCATTGTGATTGGTCATAATCAAGTTTTCATTCTGTGTTCTATTTCGCGGTCGTTCTATAGGTAAAGCAGGGTTTTTCTTTTATTCTCGTAAATATAAAACTATTTCTTTTGTTACACAAATAGCGAGAAACACCAGAACCATCTCATCCGAATTGATATTAGAGCTCAACGATAACTGCTAAATTTTAAATAGAATGGCAAACAATAAAAAAGTATATAATCACCAGATAGTCGATACTTTATTCCAAATAAATATATTTCTATAAGAAAGACAATGAATATAATCTTAACATGAAAATAAATGAGAAATATAATCTTATTTTAGATATCTATTATTATATTTCCTAACCTAGATATGTATTATCCTATTTATTTATTTAATTACAATTAAATACATAAAGATGGAAGAAGAATAAAAATCAAGCTATATAAATCATTAGTCCGGCCTGTACTCCTTTGGAAGATGAATAAAACTGATAAAAATTAAAAAAGACTCCTTTCAATACCAGTGTTTGAAGAAAGCACTGCAAACATTCTGGCCAAACATCATCTCAATAGAGGAACTTCACAATACACCAAGGATAAGTCAAGAGGTCAGACAAAGAAAATGGAAATGAAAAGGAAATGTTATGAGAAAGCCTGGCAAGTAATCACCATTGTATGATTGCTTTGACATAGCATCCAGATGGAAAAAGCAAGGTGGGCGGTCCTAAAACAACATGGAGGAGAACAGTAGAATTTGGGTGGAGAAAAAGAAAGTTGGGTGGTTGGAAAACTTGGAATGAGATCAGGGAAAGTGCACAAGACAGACAGAATTGAACAAGCGTTATGGCCTTATGTGCGAGGAGGCACGAGGAGGCACGAAGAGGATAGATGAGAGATGGAATACAACAATACCTAATTAGTAATATTCCAACACAAAATTGCATACCAGTATTTATCCTAAATCAAATTACAGGTTATTAATAAACTTAAACTTTCGTTATACTCAAAAAATTGAAGACATTTAAACAATTATTTTGAATGTTCGAGATGTGTGTAGTATATCCACTAATTAACCCCTTTTAATTTCGAATCTTTGCAGCGGGTTGATGTACACTTTTATTTGTTGAAAACTTATTGTCCGCTGTTAGACTTTGCGAAGGTTTCACCAATGATCAGCGGAAATACCAAAGTTGCTTCGGCAAACACCTAGAAACAAGCATATTTTTTTAAATGTTAAATAATGGTTTCGGTGAAAAAAAGTCATAGTTTTGTTTTCCAAACATTAAGGATTTCCCAGAATGTTCTAAATTTATATTTTCTGTGGATTATATTTAGAAAATACATATAGTTTGATTATTTTTATCAATATCTTATCAAATCGTAGCAGATTGCCACTCTACCTTGACAGGCGTTGCGAGTGACTTGATCTTTCCCCAAGATACGGCTTCATCGGGCCGTGCACCAGAGTCACATCCATCAAATTCATTAGCTGTATTGATATACACGGCAAAGTCAGCACCGCGACGCTGTGAAAGTAAGGCAAATAAATAAGTATACAATAAATATACACATGTTTATTTCTTTTAATGACCAGGAACAGTTATTGTTTTCCTTACCATTGAATTAGCATTGCATATGTGGTGTTTACACAATCCTCCGCCTGCTATAATTATCCCTGTGTTGTCAGCGTAAGCTGCATGGTCGTTCATTCTTCGGATATCTGTACATAACAATATTAGTAATAGTAAATAATTACGATGACAGCATCACGACTTTCATGGGTGCAAGCAATGTATGTCATATTGACTTTTTTCACTAAAGTCGTTAATTATTACGAGTATAACACGTCTATAATATAGATAGTTTGATGTGATATGTCAGCTGACTGTAATACTGCTAAAAACACAGTAAGAACGGAGTCTTGAAGTACAATGGTAAACAGCTACGCCATGATAATAACAACTGCACAATGCTCAATTTTAAACTATATTGGTGGGATTGGTCGAGTCGTTTCTTATAGAAGCTCTATTTAAAGCGGGGGTGGTCTCACCTGCGCACGCAATGATAACAATACTCGCTAAAAACGCAAAGGCTAATGGGTAAACGCTTGTTTGTAAACAATGACATGCTATGGCCATCTCACGCGTGCGCAGGTGACAACTCCGTCGCTTTAAGTCGTGAATCGCGTGACCCTACATGATATGTCACATTTTAATGAATGACTTGAGGAATGAATGATGGTTATGTTTCGAAATACGTGTATGGGTTTTACATGAACAATATACAATCAATCAAAAACTACATGAATGATTTAGAAGATAATGTGGTGTTAAATCACGAATTTAATGTTTCTGAATTTGATAGGCCTATTTCTTTGGATGAAATTAGGGAAAATTTAAGTAAATTAAAGACAAATAAAGCCCTAGGACCAGATGGCATACCCACAGAATTTTGGAAAAATGCTCCCATAGAAATCCATGAAATGTTATTTGTTTTATACAACAAGGTATTTGACCAGGGAATCTTTCCTGATGAATGGGGTAGGGGATTAATATCGCCTGTATACAAGAAGGGAAACAAGGATGACCCCAGTAATTATAGGAGTATCATGTTATTAAACGTCATAAGTAAAATTTATACAAGTATATTAAGTAATAGGTTAAATACCTGGTTAAAAACATTATATTGAAATTGTGGAAGAACAAAGTGGTTTCCAGAAACATAGAAGTACATTAGATAATGTTTTCATTTTACATACTCTTGTGGAAAAATATGTCATTCAGTTAAAAGGTCGTTTCTATTGTGCATTTGTAGACTATGAGAAGCCTTCGATAGGGTACATCACTGCTCATTGTTTTACAAATTATCGAAGACCGGTCTCAAAGGCAA